AGAAAAGTGAGGCCTGTGATCACTTGCCAAAATTCCTGGATTATTCCCCCTGCAAAAGTTACTGCCACCCGTCTCAGACCTCCCTGTGCGAGCCGGAAGAGCCCTTGTCAGAGATTTGTTCCCAGGTAGGTGCTAGTGGCTTTTTATCCACCCCCCCCACACCACGGCACTGTGTCACAGTCCAAACATGTGATCCACCGCCTGAAAAGCTTCCTCGTGGGCCTCCCGGGCTCAGAGCTGGGAATGCCCTGCTCTTAGGGCAGGCTGATCAGGAGCAGGGCTGTGGCCAGGGCGGGGGCTCCTGGCTTTCCGTGTCCCAGCTTGGGCATGGCTGCTGTGCTACACCCAGGCGCAATCCAGACCAACCAGTAGCTGTCCCCCTGCCTCTGACCTGGGGGGCCCTGCATGCGGCTTTGCCCCCAGTCCTGCACTGCTCCTGGCCTCCGGCATGCAAGTCACACCCAGTTACGCCTGTGTGCGGGCGGCAGCTCGGCTCTCGCCAGCCTGGGTCACGCTGCAGGGAGACCGCACGTGCTCCCCATCCTCAAATGTTCCCCGGGAAGGGCTGACAGCCCCCACCTGGGCAGCACGGCCAACTGAACCCTGCAATTCCCTCGAGGGCACAAGAGCCCCGGTCGGTATTTGAAACAGTCGCCCAGACACTCCAGCTTAAAGGCACCGGATTAGCCAAACCAGTCAACAAGCTGATTAGCTACAGAGAGATTTTCAGTGAGACCCGGTTACGAGGTACAGGCCCAGTGACGAGGTACAGACCAGGTAACGAGGCACAGGCCCGATAACGAGGCACAGACCGGGTAACGAGGCACAGGCCCAGTGACGAGGTACAGACCGGGTAACGAGGTACAGGCCCAATAACGAGGCACAGACCGGTAACGAGGTACAGGCCCGATAACGAGGCACAGACCGGTAACGAGGTACAGGCGTGATAACGAGGCACGAGGCACAGATCTGGTAACGAGGCACAGACCCATTTATGAGGCACAGACTGGGTAACGAGGTACAGACCGGGTAACGAGGCACAGACCGGATAACGAGGCACAGGCCCGGTGACGAGGCACAGATCTGGTAACGAGGCACAGGCCCGGTGACGAGGCACAGACGGGGTAACGAGGCACAGAGCCAGAGTCAGACCCGGGGACAAGACAAGTGAAGAGAAAACCCTTCCAGGTGCCAGCGGAACAGACCCCACTAGCGCCCAGGCCACGGCGTCTCACCACCGGCCTCGCTGGCCAATTCCCGCTTTTCTTTTCTGGCCCCGAGAGCGCGATGGGCGGGGAGGGGGCTGGTCCTTTGTACAGTCCTGTGCCCCCTTTCCAGCTGGGAGCAGGCTGGACGGGACCCCCAGGCTGTCTTTGTTCCTGCCCCGTCCTGCCAACGCACGGCAGGGAGCGGGCAACGGCCCAGCGGCCCGGCCTGGCCGGTCCCAGACGTCTCTGGAAAACCTGCTTTCGGAAAACCTCCTCCCGGTGGGGAGCTAACTTGTCCTGGAGCGCGGCTCCACGGTCCCTCGTGAAACACGGCTGCACGAGTGTGTCAGGTGTGAACACGGGGGTTTCTTCTGTCACTGTCCCCCCTTCCCAAGGGGATTCGCAAACGACAGGCCCCTTAAGCAGGAGGGGGCTTTCGCGGGGGCTCGGGGTTGCTTGATGTGGCTGCCTTGGGGGCTAGGCCGGCGGTCCTCCAAGTGTGCTCCACGGACACCGTCTCCCAGTTGGGCCGGGGCTCGGGGCTTCCCCCCCATCTCTGCAGCAGGGAGCCC